ATTCTGTTGAAACCCCCTATGGCTTCCATTTAGATCTTGACTTCCTGAAGTACGTCGATGACATTGAAAAGGGAAATACTATCAAGAGGATTCCAATTCGCCGGAAAACAAAACACCCCAAATTTAGCACCCTGCCTCGGAACTTTAGCCTCCCAGAAAATGGATCCAAAGTCTATTCGTCCTCCTTAAATAAGAGTTTCCTTACACAAAGGAAGACCTCTTTAGGGGGAGAGGAGAGCATGTCCCTAGTCACACCCACTGACTTGTCATCATTTTCACCTCTTCCCCAAGAACCAAGCTACAGAAAGAAAGCCCTGCTAATAGAGACGGTCAAACAAGATCCTCTTCACCTTCAAGAGGAGATTGCCAATTGTAAAGGGAGGCCTCAACTTCTGAGAGCATCCAGTATGCCTGCCAAACTTCCACCAATTCAGAATTTAGGAGAAGAAACTCATCAAGCTGTTTTTTTGCCTTTGGGATTTCTTCAGTCTTCCAATGGAAATGATTTAGACCTTGATTTTAGCCCTGCAAAAAAATCAGAGTTAAGTAGTTCCAAAAGATCTTCATTACCCCCTCCTGAAAATCTAATACATATGAAAGAGCAAATCAGTAAAGCCATCCAGGATTCTGAGAAATGTCCAGGACTATGGAGGGAAGCTCAGCTTGTGCTAGACCAGCAACAAAAAGAGCTTCCTAAGGAAATGATACAACCCAGTGACCCACAGCAAAGCCAACATCTAATTTCTCAGGAATTGCTTGCAGTTGTCGGGAGTAGAGAAGAATGTCATGCAAAAGAGGTGAATATCTGTCCATCATCAATTCAGAGTGGATCGGCCTCTACTAGTACCTCAGAACATGTGTTTGTAAAAGAGTCACAGGAAGAAATAGAACTTAACATATGTGAGACTGTTACAGAAGAAGTAGAGGAAGAAGATGAAGTTACAAGTCTTAGCACTAGAGAGATGGAAAAAAATGTAGAACTTGAGCCTTTTCTTCTTGAAGGTCCCAGCAATATAATAGCTTTACAGCAGCATATTGCCATTCTGGAGAAGCAACTGAATAACAAAACAGAAGAACTTGAGCAGATCCGAATAGTTTTGAAGCAACAGGATCAAGAAATCAAAGCAAAAGAGAGAAGCATTGAATTGCTAGCAAGTTCTAAAGCTCAACTGGAAGAGAAACTCTGCGGGGAGAATGTCAAAGAAATTAAACCATACATACAGGCCAGAAATGCCCCTCGGTACCTTGATGCTGCTGTGAATACAGAACACTTGCATGAAAAGGTAGCACATGAAAAAGGGATTGCTGTAAGCATCACTGAGCCTACAGAATCTTTAGGAGATGACGCCCATGAGGCTGATGATGAAAATGTGGAAATATGTAAGGAGTTATTCTGTGCTGAAATATCAAGTGTTTCTGCTGATGATGGAACAAAAGATAACCCTACTTTTCAGAGAAACAAGGAAGGAGAAGGAATTGCTCAGAACAGTGATTGCTCCATTGTTGAATCAAGCTATAATGAGCTACATGTTGATAATGAGAACAATAAGACAGAAAGAAGCACTTCGACTGCTCAGTTTTCTGTTCCTGGTGGAGAAAGTGGTTCTGGCCCCAAGATAGCTGACTCGAAGGCAAAAGGAATGCAAATAGTTTTTCAAGAAGATTTTAAGCGAGATCAGGAGGAGCAGAATCACCCAGAAGCAAAGGAATCACCTGCAGATCCCATTGTGGGCCAATATATTAAAAAAATCCAGGATCTTTTACAAGAGCAGTGGATATGCCTAGAACATGGGTATCCAGAGCTAGCCAGTGCAATCAAACAACCTGCCTCGAAGCTCAGTTCCATCCAGAATCAACTGGTTAATTCTCTGAATTTGCTGCTCTCTGCTTACACAACGCAAACACCAACAGACCAAGAGAATTCCAACACACAGTATCAACAGTTGGGTAAATAGTTTTGGCAAAGCCAGTCTTTCATTAACTTACGCTGATGTTAGTCAGGGGTGGCACCACTTGAGAAATGTTGAATAAAATAAACATAATTGCTGTTTTAAAATAAAGAGGTAAAACTAAGATATTTATATTCACTGATTTTTTTTAATGAAACATAGCTTAATGTACTGTCCATACCTCCTTTGGGGGTCTTTGAGAGAATCCCAAAGAAGGTATGCACTAAGAGCCTGGGCTCCCACTATTCCAAATTAACATTTAAAAAGCATTTTGTTATGACTTATAAAGAAATAGGATCTAGTATTACTTAAATGCATAATATATTTTTCATTTAATTTATCTCTGTATAAATAAGGA